GAAACACATCATTGAAAAGAGAGAGGAAAAGAGATTCAGAGGAAGATCTTGGGTAGGCCAGTCCATCTCACCTCACCTGTTGCTCCAGGTTACAGTATCCCTAGTAGTTAAATCAATACAGAAAACACCAATACTCTTCTAGTCCTCACAGTTACTGTGTCTCCCATTGTATGGATGTGCTTGCTGTAAAGCTCTACCAGTAAAATGACCTGCCTTATAAGTGACTCTCCATAGAAAGAAAACAAGTTACATCCTGGGTTGTTCCACCAAACTGTTTTAAATTGAGTCCCAGAAACAGTTCTAAGCCTCAGAAACAGCTCTGCCAGTGGAATTGACAAGGGACTATGGAGATGGAGTATGGTAGACAGGGAGCACTGGAACCCTTCACAGTGGCTCTGCAAAAATGCTAATGTTTTCAGCTGATCATCTGAAATATTGCTTTGATTGAATTTTCAATCCTGGAAGCATCCAGTCAAATTAAGTTGGCAGATGCAAATTCTACAGAAGATCTGCAGAGGGAGATCCAGTCTGCTCTGTTTTGACATCTTTCCTTCTCTCCCTACAGCAAGAGCTTGGGAACATCTCAGAGACAGTCTAGTCTATTCCTGTGAGGCGTCTACCTCTGCTGTGACTACAATACACATCATGAGGTCCCTCAGCTGTAACCCTGACCCATGAGTCTTATTCTGCGGGCAGGCACCTGCTGTTGCAGGTTCTGCTGGTGACCTTTTGTATAATGCTCTGAACATTGGAAACACTGCCACAAAATTATTCTGGGTATTGGTGCAAATAAGAAATTGTTGCCATGACTAGAAATAGTTGGGTCATGTTAGCAGGATATCAACTTCTGGTGTGAATGAGATTTTCCAGGCTCTTTATTTTTGCCAGGTCACAGGGGCTGTCCAAGCAATTCTTCCCAGAAGACTTGGCTAAAGCCTTAACCAAGGATGTTCAAAGTGTCCTATGTCCATTAGGAAGTAGAAACCACAACCTCAGAGTGTGTCCCAGTGACTTGACTAAGTCATATCCATAAGGGCGTTGCCACTCCATCTAACTCCTGAAGCCAGACATGCAAGAGACAAGAGGCAACGAGTATTCAGCTGGCTGAGTATTCAGCCATGAAAAGTCCAATATGCTCAGGATGACGTCTCTGTTCCTTTGTCATGGTAGTCTGCTGCTCAACCTGGACCTAAAGTCTGAGAGCCTTGATTACCTTCTCAATTAGATTTCCTATTGCTGGTCAGGGATAGGCAAGGGATGCAAATGGGTTGGTGCTTTTGCTGCCTGACAGCTTGATGATTATAGTGTCATATGTGGGGGTTGTTCAAGAAAAATCTCTACTCTGATCTTCCTGCAGAGTAAAATTCAACAATACAAGGTACTTCTGGGCTGCAAGTGAACACTGAAAACAAATGTTCTCTACTGTGAAGGCTGTTTCTCCTCTCTCTTTTTCAGCTTCTGTAGTGCTGGAGATTGAGCAGATGATCAGTCTTGCAAAATGTTTGCCTGATATATTTCAGAGGGCTTACTCTCAGCTGCTAAATTTGGCTGATTTCCTTCCTAGTATTTAGTAATAGTATTTTTAACAAATGTTAGAAAAATGAAAATTCCCACATTTCAGAGCTGAAGGGAACATAGCAACTGTTATGTATCCATTATTCATAGAAACATAAAATCATAGAATATTCCGAGTTGGAAGGGACCCACAAGAATCATCAAGTCTAACTCCTGGCCCTGCACAGGATATCCCAAGAATCACACCATATGCCTGTGAACATTGTCCAAACACTTGAACTTTGACAGGCTTGGTGTGGTGGGGAAGCTGTTTCAGTGCTCTGTCACACTCTGGGTGAATAATCTTTTCCTAATATGCAACCTAAACCTCCCCTGGCACAGCTTTGTGGTGTTCCCGTGGGGCCTACTATTGGTCACCAGCAAGAAGATAAAAGCTCCTGCCCCTCCTCTTCACCTTGTAAGGAAGCTGTAGACCACTATGAAGTCCTCCCCCCCTCTCCCCTTCTCTAGGCTGTACAAACAAGCCACTTGAGCTCCTCCTCTTAAGTCTTGCTCTTGAGGACATTTACAATCTTGGTCCCATTCCCTTGGACATACGGTAATAGTTTGATGTCCTTCTTATATTGTGTCACCCAAAACTGCCCACAGCACTTGAGGTGAGGCCCACCAGTGCAGATCAGAGTGGGACAATCCCCTCCCTTGGTTGGCTGGTGATGCTGTGCCTGACACCCTCCCAGGGTGTTTGACCTCCTGGCTACCAGGACTCACTGGTACGAGTCACTAATGTGAGTCACACTGCAGACTTATATTCAGCTTGCCACTGACACTTTCTATGGTGCTGCTCTCCAGCAGAACCTGACAGACCTGCAGTTATCAAGGTCATCCTTCTTGCCCTCCTTGAAGCCTAGGATATTAGCCAGCTTCCAGCTGAGTGGGATGTCTCCAGATTCATGCTCATGCTCCCCAGGGGGATCCTGGCTCTGTCCTATGTTGAGTCAGCCTCTCTTGTGCAAGCTGCCGATTCCATGTAAGCCTCTCTTGGGTTTCCCCTCATTCTAGAAACTCGCCCTGTTCTCCATGATCCCCTACTCTGCTGTGAGATGTGCTTGTACCAGAGCTGTTTGCCTCAGTAAGTAATGGTTGAATGCCAATGATAAATTTGGCCTCACATATGCCACCCACTACTTAGAATCTAACTAAGGCCTAAGATTCTGGTATGAAGAGATCATATTGCCTGCAGTATAGACTTATGCCTGGGACAGACCTATGGCTGTCTCCTTAGCGTTTGTCCAGCCACAGCATCTAAACTACTCTTCAAAGGTAGTTTGCATCCTACTGGGTGTTGCAAATTGCATGGTAGTAGTTCACACACACACACACACACATACACACAAACACACACACACACACACACACACACGCACACACACACACACACACAGGCACACACACAAAAAAAATAGGCAAGTACATTCCATGTGGCCCTCCCCTTCACATATGCATTTTCCATCTGTCCAGATGTTCCAATTTATGTGTTTAGACTGTTCAGTTCCAAGCACAAGTTTCCTACTATACCTTCCTTCTGCTTTATGGGAATATCTGCTTCTTCTTTCTTCCTTGTATCACTCTGCTTGGATCTTTCCATTCTACAAGCTCCACATCTCATCTCTCCCTGACCTTAACATATAAAAGAGTGAAAAGAGATTAGGAGCAGATCTTCAGGTTTGGCCTCCCTGGTCACTTGAGTGGATCACGAGCTGATGACATCTGTTGGAGAAGGAAGAAGCTATAGCTTGCCAAAGAAATGTGGTCTTTGGAGGGCCATGACTGAATGCAGCTGTGATGTAGGAGGTGTGAAGAAGATGGGGAGGAACTGGTGTGGAATGGCTGCTGAGCTTGTGATTAGGTTCACATCATCTCAGACTCAGCACTAGGCTGGCCAAAGGCAGGCACAAACTGGTCCCTGAGGTCCTTCTACAGGGGAGCCCTTGCTCCTAGGGGGTCTAACCTGTCAGGATGCTCAGTGTCCTAGTTCTTGTTGGCCTGTCCTCCCTGGCTGACTGTTTTCCCAGCTGCTATCCTCTCCAGTGGAGGAGGTGACTTTGTGTGAGTCATTCTCTTCGGGAAAGAAACCTCTGGGTTCTTCCCCCCATGGTGTGAGCAGCTGAGGGGAAGGTATCCATAGCTATTTTATTTTCAAGGTCTCAGCTGGGGGCAGGAAGATTGGAAAATACAGACTAAAATTTGTAGCTTAGGGCGTAATTTATGAATAGGAGTTGAACAGACGCGTGCAGGAAATATTCTCACAGACTTTAAACTTTAAAGTTAAACACTTCTCAAGTTAAAAACAACATCAACTTCTTATTTTTTTTTTCTTGTACAGGATGGTCTGGTGGGACATGGGAGGTCTGAGTTCTATTTATGTCTTCTGTCACCAGCTTCCTATGACCTTGGACTAGCTGCCTAACCTCTCTATGCGCCTCCGTTTCCTTCTCTGTAAGAAGGGGATGACCACATTTACCTGCCCCAACACATTCTTGTGACTTATTTCATAGTATAAAAATATAGAAAGGGCCACAGTGGGTCAAACTGAAGATCTGGCTCATGCAACAGCGTTTCTTCTGGCTCAACAGGGGAAAAGTGGAAACACAGGCCTTGAACTTTGCGGTCATGGGCTCTCTGCTGATCTTTCACAAAATAAAACATGTATGGGAAACGTGGTATGTGCATGGGTGAGAGGAGAAATATATTTCCAGCGCTGCCCTGGATGTTATAGACTCAGTGAAGGACAGCAGGGGAGCTGGCAGGGCAGACTTCCTAAGCATCCTTAGCCAGTGCTGCCCCTTCCTGGCTTCCCTGCTCTGAGCGCTCTCAGTGCTGCTGGCTGGGGACCCGTGGTGGTCTGGGTCAGGCCCCGCACAGAGCGATCTGCCCCACGGCTCCTTCTCCCCAAGGAAGGTGGGGAATGGAGTCTCGGGCGCCTGGGGCACGGGCAGCGCTCTGGGCACTCCGAGCATCGCGCCGGGCAGCCGGGGAGGGGCTGTAAATGGCCCCCGCCCGACCTGGCACCGGGCTCGGCAGCCGGTGGCGGGACGTGGCGCTGTCGAAGTTTTCCTGCGGAGCAGGAGAGGGTCTCCGCAACACCGGGACCCCGCCGCTCAGCATTTCATCCAGGAATCCCAAGTCCGCTTCACACCCTGCCTAGAGGAGCACGGCAACGTGCGAGCGACGAGTCCCGCTGCCCGCTCCAGCAGCGCGGCGGCCGCGGCGGCTGGAAGCAGCCCAGAGCCGGGCTCCGGAGGGACGGCACGGCCCGGCTCCCTGGGGGCCGGGGGTGTCCGGGACTGGGAGACCCGCGGGGCAGCGACACCGTGCCCGCCGACGGGCGGGCGGGCGAGCGGGCGGGGGACGCGTCCCGGCGAGGGCGTGCTCCCGAAGGAGGATGTGGGCGGGGGGGCGGAGGGGTGCGCGGCAAGGGGTGGAGAAGTTATAAATCAGCGATGCTGGGGCTGGCGGGTATCTGATGCCCGCGGGAGGTGAAGCTGGCAGGGCGGCCCGCAGCGGATACTCCGTTTCCGCAGGTCGGGCCGGGCCGGGGCGGGCGGGCAGGACTCGGGGGCTGCTGGATGCCGATTCCGCGCCTCGCTTTGCCGCTATCTCCTCCACCGCGGGAAGCGCCCGGGAACGAGGAGAGCCCGTCGGATCCCAGCCGGCGCCTCTGCCCCTGCCTCGCTGCCGTCGGCAGGGAAAAAGCCCTGCGTTCCCGCAGGCAGGACCATGCCCCGCCAGCTGCTCTCAGGGACCGTGCTGCTGGGAGCCGCCCTCCTGCTCGCAGGTAAGGCACCGCTGGTACGCGGTCAGACCCCGCTCTGCGCCGAGATCTCCGCGACGGGCCCCCAGTGATGAGCCTCGTCGGCTGCGCCTCCCGCGCCCCTGACCGGTCCCGCCACACCCCGCTTGTCGGCTGGAGCCGGCGGGCACCTGCCTCTCCTTCGCCATTCTCCTCTGAGCAGGGCCGGGGAAGTGATCCCTGCTTTCCAGGGAGCGGAGAAGCGCCGCATCCCCGAGCTGTCGTTATGCTCCGGATCCCCATCGGCGTGCCCGGGGAGCAGCTCCCCGGACGGTCCGGCGGTGCGGAGCCGTGGTGCTTCTCCCGCAAGGCAGTGGTGGCGTGGAGGCCAGCCTCTCCCGGGCACAGGGCACCGCCGTACATCATTGGGAGTTGTCCGAACCAGTGCATCACGGAACGAGAGCATGTCTTGGTTCCAGGGCACGCTTCTTTTCTCCGCATTTTGTTTTCAAGTGTCCCAGTTCTGCCCGTGAAGCGGCAAAGCTGTACCTTTTCTTCGCAAAAATCGAGGTCCTGCTGCCTCCCGCCTGAGCAGGTCGGCGGAGCACCGGTGGCGCTCCGTGCGGGGCTGGCTGCCGGGTCTTACTGGAGAGTGGGGTGGAGCTGCTCTCCGGTGCCTGCATCCCGCATTGATGGGGATGGATCATTGCAGATTTGATATTCTTAACTGAGTTTTATTTTACTTTGAGCCAAGAGCCAGTCTCCGTGGGCCGGAGCGCCGCGGTGGGCAGTGCGCCCCAGCGTTATGTGGCTGGTCACCTGAGAGCAGGGGTGTGCGTGGTGGCCGGGCAAAGGCCGGTCCCGTGTGGGCTCGTGGCTCGGCAGGGCCGGTGACCTGCGGGGATGCCCCGCGGAGAGAGGCGATGGGCGCTCCCGCAGCCTGTCCGCGCACGGGCTCCGCGTGTCCCGCCCGGGCAGCGCGCACGGCCGCGGCCGCTCCCGCGGGGACGGCGCTCGGCAGAAAGGGGCCGGCGGCCGGCGGGGAGCGAGCACAAACCCCGGCTGGGGAAGCGAAAAGCCGGGCTCCCCGCGGGACAGCCGTCAAGGCCAGCGTTCCTGCGGTCCGCGGCCACGCGGTCCCTCGCGAGTGGCCGGGGCTCGGTGTGCTCCGCGCCGCTGAGCCCACGGGAGCCGTCCCGCTGCCTGAGGCTGCCCGGGAGGAGAGCTGGAGGGGCCGCTCCGACAAGACGTTTTCCTGCTCGGGAAGTGCTGATTCATCAGCTTTGATACAGATATATAGGTGTTCTACATTCTCTTTCCTTTTTCTTTTCCCCAGGAAAGTGCTAATTTCCCCACATTATTTGTCTCTGCCTAGGAGGTTCTCATGCCCAAGATGAAATAGGCACAGGCATGGGACACCCACCCTGGATACAGGAAATGTGGATTGAGATCCTTGCCAGGCTTCCTTCACAGCTTGAGTCCGAACTTCGGCGTCCTGCTCCTGCATGGGCTCCTGCAGTGACCAGCTCTGCTAAGGGTCTGGCTTCCTCCTTCCTGTCGGAAAGGTTTTCCATTGTGCAGATCATGGCAAGCCCACTGCCCAGGGACAGGGTGGACTCTCTGCGCCAGGGGTGGTGAGAGAGACACTGCTTCACCTTCCTGTTCATGTGTACCCTAGACCAATCCCAGTGGGAAAAGCTTGCTTGCTTAGGGGACAGCCAGGGGCTCTGGGTACTGGGGACAAACATCCCAATGGCTGGCTCAGGTGCTGTAGGTGTTGGAAAGTTTATTCTCTAGTTTGTCTGGGTGCCCTTACAACCATTTTCCTGGAAGTTCATATCTTCCCCATGTACAAGAGATTGTGCTCAAATCAGAATTTAAATGTTTTCAGACTCATTGGTTTTCTTGGGCTTTTTTTGTTTGCTTTCTAGAAAAGCATTCTCGCTCAGCTTTGTTTGGACATCTCAAATAGGTTGATCATGCTTCTTCTGGACCACTGGCAGAACTCTCCATAGTTGCATTTGCATGGATAGTTTGAAAGTTATTGTTGAAGTGGGGGAATGTTTTGTACCATACATCTCTGTACTTTTCCTCCCATTTCACCCTCCTTCACTGCTTATTTACCTACATTACTTACTCAGGCTGCCCAGCACTTTCCATTTCCAGTGCTCTTGATGCAATTCAATTAATCACTGGTCCCCTCTTGTAATTCAATCTCTGCAGGTGCCTCCTGAGCTTCCATTTACTGACAGGTTCTAGGGGAGACTCTCAGAAATAGTCAGTGGTTCAGAAAGAACCTAAAAATACCTCCACAAGGAGGAGACAGAAGGAGGTCTTTCAGCTCATATAAATCTACTTAATAATTTAAAATTACCCAAAGCAACATGCAGCCTACAAGCTTTGAGAGTACCCATTTGAAAAATGAGATTAAGGAAATTAAATGCATTTGACATGTGAGTGTTGGGCACTTCAGCTCTCTTGTGCACACACATATTTTGTTAACTTGGGAAAGAACAATACTTTTTTTCTCAGTTTTGCATAGAATTCAAATATGTTTTCTTTATATCTTATAATTATTTATTCCACAAATTATATTGCATATGCTTGCTAATGATTATACACATAACAGTCAACATGAATATGCGGTTGTTGTATTCAGTTCAATCTCCCAGTCCTCAACTTTATTGCCATAATTATAATTATTACTATAGTATTGCTATAATTTTAATCACTAGCATTTGGGATTGTGAAGGACTGTGTTTAAACCCTGGGAACATCAGCCTCTGCAGCCTGGATCAAGGCTTATACACCATGTTTCCAGAAACATAAACTGATGGCTTGGCTGTATTTTTGGCTTTCCTCACATAAGTGGAACCTCACAATTTGCAGTTAGAATGATAGTAGACTCTACTACAGTCTTATCTGTGAACAGCACTATATGATCTCCATTATTTCAGTTGCAACTAGAACATCAAAATCCCCAACTTTTCAGCTTCATGGCCAGAAGGAAAAAGTGAAGGAAGAAATTCCAGGTCAAATCTAATCAGTGCTGAGGTTAATTTCTTGCAATGACTAACCCTGACTTCTCTGAAAGTGCTGTTCAGATGGAAGTTCATATATTAAGATTTCAATTTGATTTGAATACTTGCTGAAGCCAACACAGATGGAATGGTCTGATTTGGGATAAGGGCTAGAGTTATTAACAAAGTTGAGAAAAACTGTCTTTCCCACTTCTTCTTCATAGGAACAGGGCTCCCTAAAAAATTCTGAACTGTATTCACATAAAGGAGAAGAGCTAGGGACTGCAATATAACAGAGATTTTTAAAAAATGTACGGTGTGTATGGGGTTAAAACATCAAACTTTCTGATATAGTTAAAGAAAAAAAGCTCCACACAAAACTAGATTTCACTATCTTACAGCTGGTGTAAATCTGGTGCAACTCCTTTAGGCTGGGTATCATCTTCTATATTACACTTTGTGTTGGATGAAATCAGGACTTAGCATGTGCTGTAGTAAAGATCCTCATATCCAGAAGCACTCAATATATTTAGAACCCTAAAACTTTGCCTTTGAGGAGATTTGAGAGGTTTTTTGGTGGTGTTTGAGATTTTTTTACATCCAAACAATAACAAACAAGATGTCTATTTTTTGTCAGATGCTTCAAAGACTGAAACCAGTAGCCTTTCACACTGTGTGGGTGTATAGGACAAAAGGAAATTGTCCAGATTTGCAGGACAGTTGATAAGTCCTTACACTTTAATGTGGTTTGGAAACTCCCAGCACACTCTTTATCAGCTTGCTAGTTTTCATGTCCGACTGAGATTGGGAAAAGGAGAATCTCAGCAGAAGCAGATGAGAGTTAAGGTTCAGTGTTTAAGAAGTCTGTGTGCAGAGGGGCTGTGGTGGGACTTTAGCGGCAAAATTGTTCCCTTGAATCCCCCAGAGTCAGGTTTGAGACTTCCTGCTGCAGGCCCAGAGGGAATGGAAAGCAAGACTGCTGCAAGAGTAGGTTTTGCATGAAATGCCCAATCACAGTCACCTCTGCTCTTGGAAACAAGTCTCTCCTGTTGGTGTGAGACCTTCAAGGAGCAATCTGCTCCCTCCAACAACATGGTTCATCTTTAGATCTCATCCCTGCCCTCAGTAGTATCTTATTTTTTCCCTTTCTCAATATTTGTGAGAGTGTAAAGAAGCATTTCTGTACATATTTGTGCATCAATTCTACCCACAGACAGAACCATCTCTTCTCTCTTTGCCCTTATGATGCATCCTCACTGCATATATTCCTGCAACTGGGAAGCAACCTTTCCCAAGCATTCTCAGCTGGAAATGGTCTGACTTCTTGATGCATCATGGGGAACTGCTTATCCTAAAATTGGTCCAGTGATTGTCTGGGAGGTGCCCACACAGTTTTCTCTTACTGAGATGCAGAAGTTCAATTTAATTCTCCTATGTTTGGAGATCAGTTCTGCATAAATCCCAATTTAAAAAAAAGAACTTAGAAGAAAGCTTAAAGGAAAGAACCGTGCTGCAAGCAGGAGTTGGAAAGTGAAAATGCAGTCATTAGTGCTCTCTCCAGAGCCAGGCATAGCATAATATCGTGCCTTTGTGACCAGCAGAATGAGCTCATGATGGAACTAAGCAAAATGCTAACAGATTGAGAAACTAACAACAAGGGCAAAGAGATTTTGCCCTATAGATTTCAGTGGTACTTTTTTCTGAAACTTGAGCCATTGAGATGTATGGAGAAATTTGGACAGGGAATGTGGATGACTGTTTCTTATGCATTGACATGCTTGCATTTGGGGTGTTTTTTGTGTGGCACAGTAAGTGGAGATATACCAGACTGAAGATGAAGAGAAGGATAATTTAGCTAGTGGTGCATCAGTGTATTCAAGACCATTACAGATGTTTGTGCAACAGTTAATAGATTAATTAATCATCTTTCTCACACTTTGGTTTGTCTTGTGTTAATGCTGAAGGAAAAGGTTCATGTTCATGGTGAGCTAGTTTTACTCCCTCTGTTGTTTTCCCCTCAAATCA